TATCTCAGCTCACGGCAACCTCTGCTTCCCGGGTTCAAGTGAGTCTCCTGCCTCAGTCTCCCGAGTAGCTGGGATTACAGGTGCCTGCCACCACACCCAGCTAATTTTTTTGTATTTTTAGTACAAATGGGATTTCACCATGTTGGCCAGGCTGGTTTCGAACTCCTGACCTCAAGTGATCCACCAGCCTTGGCCTCCCAAAGTGCTAGGATTACAGGCGTGAGACACCATGTCTGGCCTCCTCCCCACATTTTTGAAGTCCGTGGCCCAGATCTTCCTTCCTGACTCTCCTGGGATCAGATCGTGGAGGGGTTTTGCTTCTTCCCGAAAGGCCTTGTTTAGCGCCCAGCACCCTCACTCTTGACTTTGTTTCCCAAAATCTTGTCATGGAGCTGTGCATCCGGCAGTCCTCAGGAAACAGCAGCTGTGGGAAGCAGGGGGTGTGGTGTCCAGCTCTGTGTCTGGGCCAGTCACTGCTGGGCTCGTGAGGCCGCCCCTGCCACTGCCCTGATTCCTCAGCAGAAGGCAGGCAGGGAACAAGGCAGACCCCAGAGGGCTAAGCCATAGCAGGGGCTGAGGATGCCCGGTGAATGGATACCTGGGAGAAAAGATGGCAGAATTCACACATGAGTCTATGAGACAGGGAAGGACTCAATAAAATAAAGAAGGAAGGGGCCGGGCACAGTGCAGAGGCTCATGCCTGTAATCCCAGCACTTTGGGAGGCTGAGGCAGGCAGATCATGAGGTCAGGGGTTCGAGACCAGCCTGGCTAACATGATGAAACCCCATCTCTACTAAAAATACAAAGATTAGCCTGGTGTGGGGGTGCATGCCTGTAATCCCAGCTACTCAGGAGGCTGAGGCAGGAGAATCGCTTGAACCTTGGAGGCAGAGGTTGCAGTGAGCCAAGATTGTGCCACTGCAGTCCAGCCTGGGTGGCAGACCAAGACTCCATCTCAGAAAAAAATAAAAATAAAAGAATAAAGAAGGAAGGAGAAGGATAGAACAAGGGAAACTCAATGAATAAAACACCCTGGGGCCTACTATGTACCCAGAAAAATGAAAAGTAAAGAAATAAAATAAGGCCTGGTTTACCCTCATAGTCCCAGAGCTTTGGGAGGCTGAGGCAGGAGGATCGCTTGAGCCCAAAAGTTTGAGATGAGCCTGGGCAACATGGTGAAACCCCGTCTCTACAAAAATTACAAAAAAATTCGGCAGGTGTGGCGGCACACACTTGCAGTCCCAGTTAATTGGGAGGCTGAGGTGGGAAGATTCCTTGTGCCTGGGAGGTCAAGACTGCAGTCAGCCCAGATTGCACCACTGCACTCCAGCCTGGGCAACAGAGAGAGACCCTGCCTCAAAAATAAATAAATAAGGAAACGCCCCGGGGCTCTGGCCCACCTTCTGCTCCCATTGCCTCACCCCTGCACTCCTCCTGCTCCTGGTTTGAGCTCCCCTGCTCTCCTCCTCCTCCTTCCCCAGGTCGATCTTGAGACCCATTGTCATGCAGAAAGGTGCTTCCTCTCTTGGTTCTGCGAGGACATACTGTCTCCTAACACAGACTACCAGGTCACCTGGTACACATCTTGGAGCCCTTGTCCAGAGTGTGCCAGGGAGGTGGCCAAGTTCCTGGCCAGGCACAACAATGTGATGCTCACCATCTATACCGCCCGCCTCTACTACTCCCAGTATCCGAATTACCAGCAGGGGCTCCGCAGGCTGAGTGAGGAAGGGGTCTCTGTGGAGATTATGGACTACGAAGGTGAGATGTGGGGTGGCTGAGGTAAGAGGGTTCGGGAGGGACAGCATGAGGGGCAGGTGGGTCTCCAATGCCGTGGGGCGGGGCAGTGTCCCCTGGGAGTCTGTGGGGACGGAGCTGGTGCCCACTGCAACTGGCAGTCAGGAGACCTGGCCTGGGAGGGGAGGGCCCAGGGCCTGGAGAGAGGCCTGCTGGGTCCTCACTGCTTTCTCCTCGTTTTTTCTCAGATTTTAAATATTGTCGGGAAAACTTTGTGTACGATGATGGTAAGCCATTCAAGCCTTGGAAGGGACTAAAAACCAACTTTCGATTTCTGAAAAGACGCCTACAGGAGATTCTCGAGTGAGGGGTCTCCCCGGGCCTCATGGTCTGTCTCCTCTAGCCTCCTGCTCATGCTGCGCGGGCCTCCCCTCCACCCTGGACCAGCTCTGTTTCTGCCTGGTCATCCTGAGCCCCTCCTGCCCTCAGGGCCATTCCACAGTGCTCCCCTGCCTCACCGCCTCCTCCCCGCTCTCCCAGGCTCTTCCTTCAGAGGCCCCTTTCTGCCTCCATGGCTACCCATCCACCCCCTCAGACCCCGTTCCTCCAGCCTGCGTGCCCCTAACCTGGCTCTTCCCATCTCCCCAGCATAACCAAATCTTACTAAACTCAACCTAGGCTGGGCATGGTGACTCATGCCTGTAATCCCCCAGCACTTTGGGAGGCAAAGGTGGGAGAATCACTTGAGCCCAGGAGCTCGAGACCAGCCTGGGCCACGTGACAAAGCCCCATCTCTACAAAAAAAAAAAAAAAAAAAAGCTAGATGTGGTTGCATGCACCTGTAGTCCAAGCTACTTGGAAGGCTGAAGTGGGAGGATTACTTGAGCCCTGGAGGTGGGGGCTGGAGTGAACAGAGATCGCACCACTGAACTCCGGTCTGGGCAGAGTACATCGAGACCCTGCCTGAAAATAAATCAATAAATAAACTCAACCTAAATGGGTGTGAATATATGTAAATTTAATACCAGAAGTTTTGAGAAACATCCTTTGTAAATTTCATCCTACGAATTGGGTCATTCATGTCCTACCCAGCTAAGCCAGGGAGGAAAAGCAGTCAGGCCACACGCCTTTGCTCCCGAAATGGACTTCTCTGCAAGCCTGACTCCTGAAACTGTGTGTTTACCCTGAAACCAGCTTTATCCATAGCTTCTGCGATAAATGGCTATAAGTCGTGGACTGCTTGCTCCAAAAGCAGCGACTCAGCAATGGAACCTCCCAGCTCCCAACGCTTCCTAGTGCCCACAGGCTTTCCCAAAGGGCAAGAGAACGTTTCTCCTCCTATAATTGCCATCTCTTTGTTCTCCCGACATGGTGAACACCACCCGGACTGCGGGTATGTCCCAAATTACAATTCTTTCTTTGCTAATGAAATATGAAATTTAGAGGCTCTTCTCCACACTTTAAATTTGACTTGACATTTTCAAGGCAGATGTAAGTTATTAGAGAATGAGACTCTATAAAAATGACCCCTTCATGCCGTGGCCTCCATAGAAGATGCCCCGGGCCAGGTGTCCACACGGCAGGCATTTATTTTCTCGCAGATCTGGAGGCTGCAGGTCCAAGTTCGAGGGTTGGGTGGAGTTGTTTTCTCTGAGGTCAGTTCTCCTAGCTGGCAGGGAGTCGCTTCCAGCCATGTCCTCTCTCGCTTTTCCTCTATGCACCCGCACCTCTGGGGTCTCTCTGCCTCCAAATATCAAATATCAACCTTTTTTTTTTTTCTTTGAGACAGAGTTTTGCTCTTGTTGTCCAGGCTGGAGTGCAATGGCACGATCTCGGCTCACTGCAACCTCTGCCTCCCGAGTTCAAGTGATTCTTCTGCTTCAGCCTCCCAAGTACCTGGGACTAAAGGCATGCGTCACCACACCTGATTAATTTTGTAATTTTAGTAGAGAAGGGATATCACCATGTTGGCCATGCTTGCTCTCGAACTCCTGGCCTCAGGTGATCTGCCTGTCTTGGCCTCCCCAAGTGCTGGGATTACAGGTGTGAGCCACTGTGCCCGCCTGGGATCATATGTTACATGCATATTTGTTTGATAAGCCTGGACTGCAACCACCTACATGAATATTCATAGCTCCTCCTGTAGCCTGTTGAATATGTATGTTTAGCCAACCCCTTCAGCATAAAGCTCCTGCCCCAACCCCTCCTGCTTCTAAATGTCTGTATCTGGTGTTTCCCAGAGGCTGCTTTTCCCAGGCTGTAGGATGGCCACCTTGCAGGCTATCACCCTTATCAAGAAATAAAGTGTTCTTTGCAAATGTATACCTTGTGTAATTTTTAGGTCTCTGCACCATGGGAGCACGCTACCAGGGGAAGGGAGCTGTGAGACCCACAGGAAGGCTCCAGACAGGCTGGCCTGGGACACCAGCCGCTGCCCTTCCATGACATGGGGACAAGAGAGGGCAAAAGTTCATCCAACCAGGGAGCAACTCTGGGCAGGAGATGGGGAAGGAGGAGAAGCAGGAAGGAAAGAGCTCAGTTTGGGGGTGCGCATGACATCTTAGTGGGACATCTGAGGCCCACACCCACCTGCTGTCCCCCACTCCCATGGTGGCCTCCTAGTGTGAAGGCCTGGGGGGAGGCAGACGCCTTGCCCTTCACTCTCCCTCCCTGTCCCCATGGCTCCTGGGTGGGGGGCTTCTCTGGGTTGACACCTGAGAGCAGGATCTGGGGGTCCCTGCAGAGACATCAGCCTGTCTATCTTGATGGTGGAGAGGAGGCTCCAGCTGGGTGGGACCACCAGGGGAGGGACGTCTGCTCTGCTGGCTCAGCCTAGTGTGGACCCACCTCCAGGCCTCTGGCTGCAATGACTTTCTCTTTCACTTTGCAATGGCCTTGAGTCCTGCCTCAAGGAGCAGCCTGTCTTTGTCACAGGTCCCTCTCCACAGGGGAGGGCCCCAGAGAAAACCAGAAACAGGGTGAAAGACTGAGTAAGATAAGCATCCCATGGCCTCCCACACCAGCGCCAGAACAGGAAGGGGGAGGGGCCAAGACTCACAAGGCCTTGGGAGATCACTTTTTTTTGAGACAGAGTCTCGCTCTCTCACCGAGGCTGGAGTACAGTGGCACGATCTTGACTCACTGCAACCTCCGCCTCCCGGGTTCAAGCGAGCCTCCCGAGTAGCTGGGATTACAGGTGCCCACCACCACACCCGGCTAATTTTTGTATTTTTAGTAGAGACAGGGTTTCTGCATTTTGGTCAGGCTGGTCTGGAACTCCTGACCTCAGCCTCCCAAAGTGCTGGGATTACAGGTGTGAGCCACCGTGCCTGGCTGGGAGGTCATTTTAAGGAGGGCTGCCCAACTGCAAGGGCGCTGTAAGCAGGAAGTGAAACCACAGCGCTTCAGAAAAAAGAGCGGGACTGGGACAAGCATATCTAAGAGGCTGAACATGAATCCACAGATCAGGTACCGCTGCCCACTCAGTCCGCCCGGGTCCCTCCGGCCCCTTCCTGTCTGGTGGTCCTGCTGGGCCTCAGCCCTGGCCTCCCTCTGCCCCAGCCCCAGCCCCGGACTTCCTTCCCTCTGGTTTCCCTGCTATCCCCACTCCCAGCCACGCTACTTGCCCTGCTGTGTGGTTGCCCCACTGCTGTTTCTGAATGGGCCACCTTCCCCACCTGCACCAGCCCAGGCCCCCTGCTGAGACTGTCCACTGAAAGTCATGGCCAGGCGGGTGCTCCCCGCCCTGAGAGGGTGCTCCCTCGGTGTGCTTCTCGCCATTCCTGAGCTCAGGAACTGGGAGAATTGAACCAAAGGATGATTGGGGCAATCAGGCATTTTGTTTACAGCGCTTTGTTGGACTTTCTGCAAGATTTACTTTGTTTAAGTACAAAGTCTTAGGAGAGGGTGTGGGGAGGGAATGGTCTCTGAAGCACAAGATGAATCATATCGTCCAAGGATGACTCCAGAGTCAGCAGATGGCCCCAGACAGGTTCCACTCCAAGGTCACTCTTCATCTTTTAGAACATGACCAGTAACATGAAATATGAGAAAGAACGCAATGATCAGGAGAAATGTTCCGATTTTAAAATTTAGTGAAAAGAGAGCCCAGTCCCCAACAGCTTTCTCCTGCAGGGCCCTGTGATGCAGAGACTGGACAGGGCTGGCCTGGAAAGGGGCCCCAGCTCCATCTGCCCCCAGCTCTGTGGCCTGGGCAGGTTACCCCACCTCTCTGCGCCTCTGGCCCCTCCTCTGTAAGATGGGAATGGCCCCGGCAGGCCTAGAGCAGCCTCACATGAGCTCATACCCACGCAGCACTTAGAAGAGTGGCCTGGGCCCCAGAAATCGGTTCAACCATGATTTTAAAATAATGTTAACATGCAAAGTGAAGCATCAGGAAGGTATTGAGCTGAAAGGTTAAAAGCCATTTTTTTTTTTTTTTTTTTAGGAAGGTATTGAGCTGAAAGGTTAAAAGCCATTTTTTTTTTTTTTTTTTTGAGAGGGAGTCTCGCTCTGTCGCCCAGGCTGGGGTGTAGTGGCCCGATCTCAGCTCACTGCAAGCTCCGCCTCCCGGGTTTACGCCATTCTCCTGCCTCAGCCTCCCGAGTAGCTGGGACTACAGGCGCCCGCCACCTCGCCCGGCTAGTTGTTTTTTGTATTTTTTAGTAGAGACGGGGTTTCACCTGGTTAGCCAGGATGGTCTCGATCTCCTGACCTCGTGATCCGCCCGTCTCGGCCTCCCAAAGTGCTGGGATTACAGGCTTGAGCCACCGCGCCTGGCCTAAAAGCCATTTTTTAAGGGTGAAGAGTTTTATTATCTTTTGCATTTTCTTAATGAGTTGGGCAGTGGGTTGGCAGAAATACTGAGAGGGTGGGGAATGTACCCCTGGAAAGGCCAGAGTTGGGCCCGAGTTGGGAGAGATCACCCCGGCCCTGGCGCCCCTGCCAGCATCCCCTCCTCTTCCTCTCCCCTCAGTCTTCCTGCCTGGGAAGACAGCAGAAATTCTCAGGGCTGTGGAGGCGTGCGGGAGGCCCAGGGCCATCCCAGGAGCTCTGTTCAGTAGACATGAGCCCCGAGGACTCCAGGGAGGGCTCTCTGAATGGCCGATTTCTCTCTTGTGCCTTCAGAAATCTGATGGAGCGGATGGATCCAACCACATTCGACTACAACTTTGAAAATGAACCCATCCTCTATGGTCGGAGCTACACCTGGCTGTGCTACGAAGTGAAAATAAAGAAGTACCCCTCAAAGCTCCTTTGGGACACAGGGGTCTTTCAAGGCCAGGTACGACCCAAACTTCAGTCGAATCGTAGGTACGAACTAAGCAGCTGGGAATGCAGAAAACACGTAAGTAAAATGCCCGGTGGCAGGCTCTCAGTTGTATATTTTTTCCCACATTTATTTTTTTTCTTTCTTCCTTATTTATTTATTTATTTTGAGACAGAGTCTCCATCTGTCGCCCAGGCTGAAGTGCAGTGGTGCGATCTCGGCTTACTGCAACCTACGCCTCCTGGGTTCAAGCGATTCTCCTGCCTCAGCGTCCTGAGTAGCTGGGACTACAGGCACTCGCCTCCACGCCAGGCTAATTTTACTATTTTCAGTAGAGATGGGTTTTCACCATGTTAACCAGGCTGGTCTCGAACGCCTGATCTCAGGTGATTCACCTGCCTTGGCCTGCCAAAGTTCTGGGATTACAGGCATGAGCCAGTGTGCCTGGCCACATCCCACATTTCTTTATTTCTTTTATTTCTTTCTTTTTTTTTTTTTTTTGAGACAGAGTTTTGCTCTTGTTGTCTAGGCTAGAGTGCAATGGCTCAATCTTGGCTCACTCAACTTCCGCCTCCTGGGTTCAAGCGATTATCCTGCCTCAGCTGCCTGAATAGCTGGGATTACAGGTGCCTGCCACCATGCCCAGCTAATTTTTTGTATTTTTAATAGAGACGGGATTTCACCATGTTGGCCAGGCTGGCCTTGAACTCCTGACCTCAGGTGATCCGCTCACCTCCGCCTCCCAAAGTGCTGGGAACACAGGTGTGAGCCACTGCGCCCGGCCTCCACTTCCCACATATCTTAAATCTGTGGCCCAGACCTTCCTGCTTGACTGCCCCGGCCACTGCCCTGATTCCTCCATGGCAAAGATGCATCATCACAGGATGGTGAACCCTCACTCCTCACCCTGCCACCCCGACTCAGGACACTAAGCTCCCCGCCTTGTCCCACCCATCCCTACGGCCCCCTCCGCCCTGGCAGGAAACTTTTCAGAGTGTGTTTGGGGAGGGAGCCGTCTGTGTGCTGGGCAGGCCTGACCTACAGCGGTGCTGGCCATGGAAACACCCAGGACTCAGGAGTGAAGCACAAGTGTTTCCAGTCCCCACACGCTAAAAAGGCGACAAAAACTGGTAAAAGTAATTTTAATATTTAATTTAATCCAATGTAGCTAACATATTACTTCAACATTGATTAACATAAAATTATTTGTGAGATAGTGAAGTTTCTTTTTCTTCTCACACTGAAATGAGCAGTGTATGGTGTATTTTTCATGTGCTGAGGTCTCTCATCAGAGCCCCGTTTCAGGTGCACAGTAGCCCCCTTGGCCAGTGCCCCCCAACATGGGACAGTGCAGGTCCAGTGGCTTCTCCAGCAGATGGCAGGGAGGGAACAAGGCCGACCCCAGAGGGCCAGGCCACAGCAGGGGCTGAGGATGCCTGGTGAATGGATGCCTGGGAGAATGGATACCAGAATTCACGCACGAGGCCGCGAACAGGGCTGGGACAACTTCCAAACGAAGGGAAGCACGTGTCTTGGTGCACCTTGTGATGCTTCAACAGCAGGACTGAGACGGGGACATTGACAATGAATAGAAATGTGCTGGCTCGAGTTCTGGACGCTGGGAAGTCCACTGTCAAGGCACCAGCGATTTTCCAGGGCCTGCGAGCTGCACAGTCATGTGGGGGTGAAGGTTAGTGCCAGAAGGTTGGGGATGCTCCAGACAGAGTGGCCTGGGATGTCGAGTCACTGCTGCTCCATGCCACGGGGACAAGAGGAAGCAGGAGTTTAATCTTACACACTGCCCCTCCAGCTAGAGGGCAAGAGACAGAAAGTGGGGCTAAAGTTGCCCTTAAATAACCACAGCAGTGGCACCCACAAAGGTGCAGTCCCCACAGCCTCACAGCTGCTTGTAGGTGCCACCTCTTAAGGCCATTACCATAGCAATTAACACTGAACATGAGCTTTGGAGCAGACAATCACTCAAACGACTCAGGGGGATGGAGGAAAGGAGCTTCAATGGCAAGATCCCCTGGACTCCTGTCCTGGCCCCTCCTCCCACTGCCCCAACCCTGCCCTCTCCTCCTGCTCCCCCTCTCAGAGCATCCCCTGCCCCTGCTCCTCTCCCAGGTGTATTTCCAGCCGCAGTACCACGCAGAAATGTGCTTCCTCTCTCGGTTCTGTGGCAACCAGCTGCCTGCTTACAAGCGCTTCCAGATCACCTGGTTTGTATCCTGGAACCCCTGCCCGGACTGTGTGGCGAAGGTGACCGAATTCCTAGCTGAGCACCCCAATGTCACCCTGACCATCTCCGCCGCCCGCCTCTACTACTACTGGGAAAAAGATTAGCGCAGGGCGCTCCGCAGGCTGCATCAGGCAGGGGCTCGCGTGAAGATCATGGACTATGAAGGTGAGAGGAGGAGGGGTCAGGGGAGCGTGAGTGGGTGGAACAGCATGAGAGATGGATGGATCTGCAATGCCATGGCTGGGGGTGTCCCAGGGCAGCCTGCAGGGGCAGGGCCGGCACTGACCACAACTGACAGCCAGGAGACAAGGCCTGGGAGGGCAGGACCAGGGTCAGGGGAGAGCCTGACTGCTTCCCGCCTCTTCATGTCAGAATTTGCATACTGCTGGGAAAACTTTGTGTACAATGAAGGTCAGTCATTCATGCCTTGGGACAAATTCGATGACAATTATGCATTCCTGCACCGCAAGCTAAAGGAGATTCTCAGGTGAGGGTCTCCCTCTGGCCTCATGGTCTCTCTCCTCTCACCTCCTGCTCATCCTCCTGAGCCCTCCCCTGGCCAGGCCCTCCTGCCCTCCCTTCTGCCCCCTGCCTGCCCTCAGAGTTACACCCCATCACCCCAACTCCTCGTGCTCCCTCCACCTCCCTGCCTCCTCCCTGCTTTCCTGGGCCCCTCCTGTGAGTGAGAGGCCCCTTCGGCCTCCAGAGCGACCTCCATCCACCCCCGAGGCTGCCCTCCCCACAGCCTGGGATCCCCAACCTGGCTCCTTCCATCTCCCTGGCATAACGGAAGTTGTCATAACACTGGACGTAAGTGGGCATGAATATTCACAAGCCCGACAGCCAGAAGCTTTGAGCAACATCCTTCAAGGCTGACCTGAGCCCCTGAGAAGGAGCCACCACCGTGGAAACAGAGCTTCAGGCTTCGGCTGCCATAGAAGATGGCCCGGGCGGGTGCCCACAGGGCCTGCATTTATTTTCTTACAGATCTGGAGGCTGCAAGTCCAGGGTGGAGGGGTGGGCGGGGCTGTGTCCTCTGCGGCCGCTCCTCCTGGCCCTGTCCTCTCTGGCCGTTCCTCTGTGCAGCTGCAACCCTAGGGTCTATCTGCCTCTAAATGTCCTCCTTATTTGGGGTCCCCAGTCAGACAGGATTAGGGCCCACCCTAAGGACCATGAGTTAATTTAACCACCACTTTAGTGGACCTGTCTCCAAATACAGTTACCCTGTGAGGAGGTGGGATGAGGACTTCAACATATCAGTGTTGGGAAGATACAATTTAGCCCATGACAATGACCCAGGGGGGCTTTGGGTCAAGCTTGGGTGGTGCGTGCAGGGATCCCCGTTCTGTGTGTCTGTCTCCCAGGAGTCCTGCCCTGACCCTCACAGCCCCTCCCTCCAGACTTTGCTGCACCCTGGGCCGCACCCCATGGCTTCCCCACCCAACAGCACCCAGCCTGGCCCCCTGCTCATGCCTGTCACTTCTCAAATCCCCCCCACAGGATGGAGATGCAGAAAGAGCCAAACACTCAGTGATCAAGGTCCCATGTGAATAAATTTTTTTTTTTTTTTTTTGAGACAGCCTCTCCCTCAGTCGCCCAGGCTGGAGTGCTGTGGTGCGATCTCGGCTCACTGCAACCTCTGCCTCCCAGGTTCTAGCAATTCTCCTGTCTCAGCCGCCCAAGTATCTGGGATGACAGGTGTATGCCACCATGCCGGCTACTTTTTGTATTTTTAGTAGAGACGGGGTTTTGCAATCTTGGCCAGGGTGTTGAGTGAGATTTTACAAAAGCGTAGGCTTGGATAATGGGAGATTTGAGATAACAGGAACCTTCCAGGAAGCACAATAGAAAAGGGCAACCAGGGACCGGAGAGGCCATAGAAAGGGAGCTCAGGCCCTTGAGAGAGACGGGAACTGAGCACCTGGGTCTTAGACCAGAGGAGAAAACTGCAAGACAGGGTGGCCGGGGACACCAGCATCCACCCTTCCATGACATAGGGATAAGAGCTCAGCCTGCCAGGGAACAACTCTGGGCAGGAGATGTGGAAGGAAGGAGCTCAGTGTGGGAGCACGCGTGGCATCGTGGGGGGACATCTGAGGGTCACCTCCCACCTGCTATTCCTCCCTCCAATGGTGGCCTTTGAGTGTGAGGGCATGGGGGGAGGCAGACATCTGCCTCTCACTGTCCCTCCCTACCACATAGCTGCTGGGTGGGGGGCGTCCCTGGGATGATTCCTGAGGGCAGGATCCAGGGGTCCCTCTGGAGGTCCTCCCATCCAGGTGAGAAGGCAGCATGGAGTGAGGCCTGCACTCAGATGGGCCTGGGAGGTCACTCACAGCGCAGGTGCCTCCTGGAACAAGGGCCCTGGAAGATAGAAATAGAACCCAAGCCCAGGACTAACATCAGGGCCAGGACAAGCCTGCCAAGGAGGCTGCACATGAAGCCCCAGATCAGGGACCACTGTCCGCTCTGCCCGCGGGGCCTCTGCTGCCCCTTCCTGCCTGGTGGCCCTGCTGGGCCTCAGCCCTGGCCTCCCCCTGCCCCAGCCCCAGCTCTGAGCTCTCTACTCTCTGCTTCCTCTGCTGCTCCCACTCCCAGTCAGGCTTTGCCTTGCTATGTTGTCGCCCCACTGCTGCTTCTGAATGGGCCGCCTCCTCCACCTGCCCCAGCCCAGGCCCCCTGCTGAGACTCTCCCGGAAAGTCAAAGTCACTGCCGGGCTGGTGCTCCCCACCCTGGGAGGGTGCTCCCTCTGTGTGCTTCCCATCATTCCTGAGCTCTGGAACTGGGAGAATTGAACCAAAGGATGATGGGGGCAATCAGGCATTTTGTTCTCAGTGCTTTGATGGAATTTCTGTAAGATTTACTTTGTTTCAATACAAAGTCTTAGGAGAGGGTGTGGGGGAAGGAATGGTCTCCGTACTAGAAAATAAGCCATTTCGTCCAAAGATGCCTCCAGTGTGAGCAGAGGAGGATGCACATGACCCCAGACACAGGCTCCTCCTCCGTAAGCACCATTCGCCTTTTAGAATGACACTTGTAACCTGGAATGTAGGAAAAAATATGATGATCAGGAGTAATGCTCTTATTTTAAAGTTTAGTAAGAAGAGAGCCCGGTTCCCGACAGCTCCGCGCTGCAGGCCGGTGATGCAGAGGCTGGACAGGGGCCCCAGCTCGATCTGCTGCCCCAGCTCTGTGGCTCGGGCAGATTACCTGGCCTCTGTACGCCTCTGGCACCTCCTCTGTAAAATAGGGATGGTCCCTGCAGTCCTCAGGCACATGCCATGAGCTCATATGCAGCACTTGGGATAGTGGCCTCAGCCGGCCGGGCACAGTGACTCATGCCTCTCATCCCAGCACTTTGGGAGACTGAAGCAGGCAGATCACGAAATCAGGAGTTCAAGACCAGCCTGGCCAACATGGTGAAACCTGATCTCTACTAAAAATACAAAAATTAGGGCAGGGCACAGTGGCTCACGCTTGTAATCAGCACTTTGGGAGGCCAAGGCGGGCAGATCACAAGGTCAGGAGTTCAAGACCATCCTGACTAACATGGTAAAACCCCGTCTCTACTAAAAATACAAAAAATTAGACAGGTGTGGTGGTGGGCGCCTATATTCCCAGCTACTTGGGAGGCTGAGGCAGGAGAATCGTTTGAAACCAGGAGGCGGAGAGTGCAGTGAGCCGAGATTGCGCCACTGCACTCCAGCCTGGGTGAAAGAGTGAGACCCTACGTAAAAAAAAAAAAAAAAAAAAAAAAAGAATAAATTTGGTGTGATCCCAATATAAAAATCATCATCATCATCATCAGAAGGTAATATGTGGGGAAGGCATTGGGCTGAAATGTTCAAGCAACTATTTCAGGGTGAAGAGTTTTATTGTCTGTTGCATTTTCCTAATGGGTTGGGAGAAGTGTGGCAGAAAAACTGGGAGGTTGAGGGTGTCCATTGGTAGCCCCAGAGCTGGGGTTCCAGCTGGGAGAGGACACCCCGGCCCTGTTGCCCCTGCCAGTATCCCCAGTATCCCCTCCTCTTTCTCTCTCCCAATCTTCCTGCCTGGGAAAGCAGCAGACATTCTCAGGGCTGCGGAGGGATGGGGGAGGCCCAGAGCCCAGGGCCGTCCAGGAAGTGGTGTTCAGTGGGCATCAGCCCCCAGGACTCCGGGGAGGGGAGTCTCTGCATTGGGATTTCTCTCTTGTGCCCTCAGAAACCCGATGAAGGCAATGGATCCACACATATTCTACTTCCACTTTAAAAACCTACGGAAAGCCTATGGTCGGAACGAAACCTGGCTGTGCTTCGCCGTGGAAATTATAAAGCAGCGCTCAACTGTCCCCTGGAGGACGGGCGTCTTCCGAAACCAGGTAGTGCCAAAGTCCTAGTTACACCCCAAATAGGAGCTAAGCAGCTGGGAATGCAGAAAACACAATAAGTGATGTGCCTGGCGTTGGCTCTCCTGTGTATATTTTCCTCTTACATGGCTTTCTTTTTTTCTTTTTTTTGAGACAGAGTCTCTCTCAGGCAACCTCTGCCTCTTGGGTTCGAGCGATTCTCCTGCCTCAGCCTCCTGAGTAGCTGGGATTACAGGTGCCCGCCACCACACCCGGCTAATTTTTATTCTACTTTTAGTAGAGACACGGTTTCACCATGGTGGCCAGGCTGGTTTCGAACTCCTGACCTCACGTGAACCACCCCCCTTGGCCTTCCAGAGTGCTAGGATTACAGGCATGAGCCACCGCGCCCAACCGCCTCCCACATTTTTTAAGTCCGTGGCCCAGATCGTCCTCCCTGTCTCTCCTGGGATCGGATGGTGAAGGGGGTTTGTCTCTTCCCAAAAGGCCTTGCTTAGAGCCCAGCACCCTCACTCTTGACTTCCTTTCCCAAAATCTTGTCCACACAGGCCACTGACCTCTCACCCACCCTGTCGTGTCCCACCCACTCCTGCAGTCCCCTCCGCCCTGGCAGGAGACTTTTCAGAGTGTGTTTGCGGTGGGAGTTGTCTATGTGCTGGGCAGGCCTGGCCTACAGCAGTGCTGGCCTCAGAAACACCCAGGACTCAGGAGTGAAGCACAAGTGTTTCCAGTCCCCACACGCTTAAAAGGCGGCAAGAACTGAAGGAAGACATTTTAATGTCTGCATTAGCTCCATTATCTCACATATGATTTCAACATATACTTAATATAAAATGCCTCATGAGGGAGTTAAAGTTTGTCTATTCCCACAATGAGATTTTGAAATGAGCTGTGTATTGTTCACGTACCAACGTTTCTAATCAGAGCCCCATTTCAAGTGCTCAGTAGCCCCTTTGGCCAACCTTCAACTCCATGAGCAATGCTAGTCCAGTGAGCTCCATAGCAGAAGGCAGACAGGGAACAAGACAGACCCCACACGGCCAGGCCACAGCAGGGGCTGAGGATGCCTGGTTAGTGGATGCCTGGGGGAAAGGATGCCAGAATTTACGCTTGAGGGCATGATGAAACAGGGAAAGAC